AATGCTTTTTGTGAAAAATTTTGTTTAAAAGAAATTTCAGACAAATTACTTGTTGTGTTTTTTTTGGTGACTTTCATATAATAAATGTCTATGATCTTGTATTTTTGTTAAAAAATATCTTTTCACTAAGGAAAAAATCATAAGAGTTAGATGTTTGTGTCTAGATAGCAGCTTAATAAGTATCCCTGCATCATGTAGTTTATTAGATCTTAGAATTTGGAAGGAAGCCACAGCCTTTTGAAGTTGGTTTCCATGGCATGCTCTATCTCGCTTCCTTAACAGAACATGCCCAGGTGAGTTCCAGCGGCTTCTGAAGCAGCAGGTCATTGTGTGATTTCATAATTACCCTCCTATTTGCCAAGACAAAATCTGGATTTTTCTATAGTAATTCAGTGAGTATTTTTTAAAAGAACATTTTATGCTGAAAAAATCAGCTACTGACTTCACATGTTTTCTTTCCCTGATATACAGAAAATTGTTCCAGACATAACCTATTGTTACCATCTTGACAGAGGTCCAGGTTTGATTTTGTAAAGTGAGAGGTCCCTACTCTACACCTAAGTCTTGATCTAAAACACAGTTTCTGAATCATGGCACCATTGACATTTTAGTCTAGATAGTTCTTTGCTGTTGGGGGTGTTCTGCCTTGGGTTGTGCCATCTTTAGCAGCATCCTTGGCCTCCGCCCACTGATGCCAGTAGCATGCTCTCACCCTCTTTGGGACAACCAGAAATGTCTCCACACACTGCCAAATGTCTCCCCATGAGAAAGGAGGAATAAATACCCCTGGATGAAGATAATTGATCTAAATCAGTCTTTACATCTAATATGATGGGATCCCAATTTTAAAGACTTGATTCTCCAGACACTTCCCAACTATGTCACTTAGTGCGATGGTAGGTGGGGTAGCACTTTTCCTCCTGGTTTTGAACCAGGATGTTTACTCAACTGTTCTTTCTCTTCCTCCCTCATACTAGACCTACATTGAGTTGTAGGCTCCTTAGTGGTAACAACTGCATTTTCTCTTGTTTAAATGTTCTTCATAGAAGTAAGAATGTGTTAGGTCTGATGTAAGCATTTAATGTATGTCCACTAATCTCATAGAAAATTCAACTAGAAGAAATTCATATCTTCTTTTAACTAGCAGAATATATTGTCAATGCCATGAGCATGTGCTTTTTTAAAAACCTTCCTGTTTTGCTCACTGTTGTATTTCTTTTTTTTTGGAGAGATTTTCGCTATAAGGCACGTGCGCTTGCTAGACAGACAGAGAGAGACATGGAGATAGAAAGCGAGAAATCACCCCCCAGGGGGGATGGTCACGCCGCAATCCCTTCTCTTCCATTCTCCTCTCAGGATCTTGGGCACGCACGCACATGTGCCCAGCGTGAGTTTTAAGCACCGGGTCCGGGACGCGAACCGCGGTCAACTACATGGGAGCCCAGCGACATAGCCATTACGCTAACTGCTGATTCACACCGTTGTATTTCTAATAGCCAGAAGAGTAACTGACATATAATAAGTGCTCAATATGGAGCACCTTTCTAAGTCAGTGTTCAATGGGGTCCTTGTCCCATTTCCTAAAGGATAACATTTCAAGTTCTTAAAGCTGGATCAAGGCTTTCTTTATTCTTAGTTTTCCAGTCTTAATTTCTGCTTCTCTGATACACAACCCAACCTCTTTTACCCAAATTTATCCACTGACATTTTTTCATAAGCCCATGAACAACTTTGCCAATGCACAGCTCTTCACTTCATTTTCTTTGTTAAGAATGGTCTTTCAAGCTCTCCACTGGGTCAAATACATTCAAAACACACTTCAAAAATCAGCTTATTTCATCTCTCTTAGGTAACATTTTCTGGCCCCCAGGGGCCTTCCAGACTCAAAGTCCAATACTTACAAGTCTGTGCTTCTCTATAAGGCACGTGCGCTTGCTAGACAGACAGAGAGAGACATGGAGATAGAAAGCGAGAAATCACCCCCCAGGGGGGATGGTCACGCCGCAATCCCTTCTCTTCCATTCTCCTCTCAGGATCTTGGGCACGCACGCACATGTGCCCAGCGTGAGTTTTAAGCACCGGGTCCGGGACGCGAACCGCGGTCAACTACATGGGAGCCCAGCGACATAGCCATTACGCTAACTGCTGATTCACACCGTTGTATTTCTAATAGCCAGAAGAGTAACTGACATATAATAAGTGCTCAATATGGAGCACCTTTCTAAGTCAGTGTTCAATGGGGTCCTTGTCCCATTTCCTAAAGGATAACATTTCAAGTTCTTAAAGCTGGATCAAGGCTTTCTTTATTCTTAGTTTTCCAGTCTTAATTTCTGCTTCTCTGATACACAACCCAACCTCTTTTACCCAAATTTATCCACTGACATTTTTTCATAAGCCCATGAACAACTTTGCCAATGCACAGCTCTTCACTTCATTTTCTTTGTTAAGAATGGTCTTTCAAGCTCTCCACTGGGTCAAATACATTCAAAACACACTTCAAAAATCAGCTTATTTCATCTCTCTTAGGTAACATTTTCTGGCCCCCAGGGGCCTTCCAGACTCAAAGTCCAATACTTACAAGTCTGTGCTTCTTCCTGGGCATTTTAATTCTATATAGTATGCAACTTTTCACCTTATCCTTTTGAATTATTACTTTCATGTGCATATGCCATCTCTTTATAAAAAATAACAATCTTTCTGGAGGCAGAAATATTGTTATTTCTTTTTTTTTAACATCATACTCTCTATAAAATGACGTATACCTAAGAAGACTATTTTCATGATTTGTTTATTTCTTATTTTTTGACCGCCAATTTTGTGCTTGACATGTGCTGGGAATCAAAACAAATGCTGGCCCTGTCTACCACTCGTAATAAAGATCAAACTACCATGCACACATTCATGAGGGACAGGTATGACTGCTTTAATTTGTCTACAAATTCCTTGATATCTCCTACTCTAAGGGAAGATGATATGGGATCATAACTTCTGCTTGGAGGTACTGTATTTCTTAGCCCCTTGAGGATAAGTTGAACCTAATAACTTGCTTCTCAGGAATAAAACAGGTGATGTTGTGCAACTTTGGAGACTAAATCTTTTTTTTTTTTTGAGAGGTTTTTGCTATAGGGCACGTGTGCTTGCCAGAGAGACAGAAAGCGAGAAATTACCCCACCTTGGGGTGTGGGGGATGGCCATGCCACAATCCCTTCTCCATTCTCCCCTCGAGTTCTTGGGCACACACACACATGCACCCAAGGTGAGTTTAAGCCACCAGGTCCAGGACTCAAACTGTGGTCGACTACATGGGAATCCAGCAACAAAGCCATTATGACAACTGCTGGTCCCAGGACTAAATCTTGAAAAGGTACCATGACTTAGTCACTCTGATTCTTGAATTGTTCAATATGGAGAAAGCCAGTGGTCATATTCTAAGTAGTCCTATCGAGACACTCATACAGTGAGGAACTGAGGCCTCCTGCTAACATGCCTGAGCTCACAAGCAGATTCTTTAGCTCCAGTCGAGCCTTCAGATGACTGAGCCTCAGCCTACAGTTTGCCTATACCCATGAAAGCACTTGAGTCAGTACCATCCAATAATTAAGATGTTCCTAGATTTCTGATCCCTAGAAACCATACATGTATTATAAGTCTTAGGGTATTTTTTTTTTTTTTGCAGCATTAGATAACTAGCACACAGAAACTGCAGAGATTTAAGGTATTATTATTAAATATGCTAATATTTGTTGAACAAAGAATGCCATGATCTACAATGGCTTATTGCTACACAATGAGTTAAAAGTGGAAACAAAAGAAGCTTAAAAAAGGAAAGAGAGAAGAAAGAAAAATGATAAAGCATTAAGTATAAAAAAGAAAAAAAAAGGACCAGCAGTTAGCATAATGGCGATGTTGCTGGACTCCCACAGAGTCGACCACGGTTCGCGTCCCAGACCTGGTGGCTTAAAACTCACGCCAGGCACATGTGCGTGCGTGCTTAAGATCCTGAGAGGAGAATGGAGGAGAAGGGATTGTGGTGTGGCCATCCCCCCTGGGGGGTGATTTCTCGCTTTCTGTCTCTCTGTCTCTCTGTCTGTCGAGTGCACACACCCTATAGCAAAAACTTCTCCAAAAAAAAAAAAAAAAAGAATCAGATAGAAGTAAAACTTTCAATGGGTGATGCGCAGGCATTTCTCACTTTGCCACTGGCTTAATTTTCTGAGAAGTAGAACATGTGACAGTGACTGCAGGCTGTCTTCCAAAGACGACCTGCTGAAGGGTTTGCTCATTTCTACTGACCGCTTTTGTGTTACCCCATTGTCTGTTCTCATCTTGAGCTAAAATTGATAGTTGTAATTAAATAAGAAATGAAAGCCATACTTCTGCTCTACATAGAATATGTTTGCCTTTTATTTCTTTTTGTATCAGAGAAAGTCACCATGGTTCTTTAAACACAAAGGCCACGGACATGGGAATTTATGATTTGTTTGTATTGATGCCAACTTCTGGGAGTCACTGCCATTCCTCTGCCATGGTAACACTGACCCAGGCTGACCTCCATTATTAATGACACAGTTGCGAGGGCTGAATACTTAGTCCTTACCAGTCAACTTTGTCAAAATTAATTTGAGCCAGAACAAATTTAAATTTAAAATGACCTAACTAACGTGTCCCATAGGATCCCCATTTACACCTAATACCTCAAATTCCCTACTGAGAACATAGTCATGGAGGAGGACTGTCAATTTATTAACCTATTTAATAATAAATACAGAATTTAAATTCCTTGCTGAATATTTATTGACCCTGACTTTCCCAAGGCTCCAAGAGAAGAACTTTGGAAAATGTTTTAACTCCTTGAAGTCATGAGAATAATACTTTCTATGTTTATCTCAAATGTCAAGCTAAGAAAAGCACATGAATCACATAGATTTGCTAAATTTCTTTTTTTGTTTAATCAATCTGATTGATTAAAGGCTTAATAGCTCATGGAAGGAAGAACTTACTTGTAGGAGTTTCACTGTTGGCTGAAGACGGGTGGGTGCTGAAGGTAGATTCTGAAACACCGAGTGGAGGATCCGTTGGAAGATTCACAGAACCTAAAAGAATCAGGTAGACATTAATAAAATAAATATTGTAATTGAAAAATAAAGAATTGACTGAGTTGCTAAAAATATTTATTCATCATCTAACAAATCAGTATTGAGGGCCTGTTATGTACAAAGCAGTAGGAATATGATAGTGGCTGAGAAGGGCATGGGGCTGTCCGTGAAGAACACACAGCTGAGAAAACAAGCAGTCAGCACTGGAGCACTGAGAGGGCGGGCACAGACTGACTGGAGTGCAAGGAGGGGCACCCATTAAGACTGGGAGGTCTGGGAAAGCTTCCTGTAGAAAGTGACATCCAACTAACACACGTTAAAATCGTGGCAGCTGATGGGGCCAGCAGATGGCATAATGGTTACAATGCTGGACTCCCACATAGGTGACCATGGTTTGAGTCCCAGACCCGGAGGCTTAAAACTCATGCTGGGTGTGTGTACGTGTGTGCCCAAAATCCTGAGAGGAGAATGGAGGAGAAGGGATTGAAGTGTGCCCATTCCCCCGGGGGGGGGGTGATTTCTCACTTTCTGTCTCTCTGTCTCTCCGGCGAGTGCACATGCCCCATAGCAAAAATCTCTCTAAACAAACAAACAAAACAAAACAGACAAAAAAACACAATGGTACCTGTTAACATGTTGAAGTACTTGAAAAGTAATCATGCAATTTACAAAATTCATAACCCACATTATTTTTTTATTCAAAAATTTAATTTTGTTAGCAAGAGAAACAATGCTACAATTCTCCAGTTGGATATAACAGCTGGATTCCACCTGTCCCACAGTGGTTCAAGACCTAGACCTGGTGACTTGCTTTTTTTTTTCTGGTGAGCACATGTACCCTATAGCAAATTAAAGATAATGATAATAGCAATAAACATAAGTAAATAAATCTTAAAAAAAAGATTAACCATATTATTTTGCTTCTTTCTAAAATTTTAACTTACATCACTTTTTGAAGGAGTCAGAGCAGTCAGCAGTGGCAGAGTGGTTAAAGTGCTGGACTTCCACATGGCCAACCATGGTCCAAATCCTGGACCTGGTGGTTTGAAACTCATGCTGAGCACATGTGTGCAGAATCCAGAGAGGAAAATGGAGAAGAAAAGATTGCGACATGGCCATATCCTCTAGATGATTACTTGCTTTCTGTCTCTGTCTCTTTCTATCTCTCAAGCGAGTGCGTGCTCCCTATAGCAAAAATCTCCCCCAAAAAATAAATAGAGGCTAGAACATGTTGTGTTATTATATTTACATTCATGTCAATTCTTTAAGCCTCCATTATTATACTTTAAAATAGCCCTACTGGAGGTATGAAACAATTTACAAATTCGTAGTTCCAGAAGGAACTATTGACAAAAGCAACATATGAATTAAATGTGGTTAGATAATTTTGAGACTAGAGGATCTTTGTGATCTTTCATGATATAATCTCACTAGATATAGTGTCGCACATCTGATGAGCTATGTCACATATTTGGATGTCAAATTACAAATGACACTATTGGTTCTATATTGTAATTTACTTTAAAGGACATGTTTATTTATTTAGATTATGTTACTTGATAGCAAAGGACAGTGGATATACGTCAATTCTGTAACCTAGATGAGTCTACGTTTTGTTCTCATTCTTGGTAGGTTATTACTGCTGTTAGCTGTAGGCAGTGTTCACAACTGGCTCTGACTGTCGATTGTATGGACACTTTCATATGATAATCTCCAAGGGAGTGGTGGGCAGTTATAAAGAGAGTGTATGACTAGGTAAGTAAGATGACCATCCTCTATCCCTGTGACATCCAAAATAAGTCTGAACTTTTTTCTTTCTCTAATTTTGCTATAGGGCATGTGCACTCACCAGAGAGAGACTAAGAAAGGCAGCAAGTGAGAAATCATCCTACAGGAGAGATGGCCATACTGCAATCCCTTCTCCATCCTCCTCTTGGGATGTTGGGTATGCACCCACACATTCTCAGCATGATTTTCAAGCCATTGAATCCAGGACTCAAACCAGAGTTGATTATATGGGATCCAGTGCCTTAAGCTCCAATCCACCTGCTGTTCCAGTGAGTTTGAACTTTTTCTCATGATGCTCAAGAGTGATTATGATCTGGACCCTAGTTACACCCTCATCTTCATTTCCGGGCATTGCTTGTACTCTTTTCCATCTATCTCAACTCACACACCTTATTCGGCAGGCAATGTTTTTGTTTTTCAGTTATGTTATAGGGTGTATGTACGAGAGAGAGAGAGAGAGAGAGAGAGAGAGAGAGAGAGATCACATTCCAGGAGGAATGGCCATGCCCCAATTCTTTCTCCTCCATTCTTTTCTAGGGATTTTGGGCACACACACACACACACACAAACATATTCACATGAAAAACACACACCTGGTATATTTTTCAAGCTGATGTGTGTGGGACTCAAATTACAGTCAGCCATGTGGCATTCAGCCCCTTTAACCTCCACAACCTGATGGCCCCCAACAGGAACTGTTTTAAACCAATTTCTCAAACAATATACTCTCTATGACTTCTTGATCTTTGTTTATTCTGTCTTCTGATACTTTACCATTCCCAGACTTTCTTGAATGTACCTATCAAATTTGAGGAAGCCTGAGGTATCTTCATGATATGCTCATCCTTCAGTGTCTACCTTGGCAAAGGTTTATCACTCTTTCTCATTAGGTATGCCCTTCAGAACTAGTTGTTTTGTGCTTCACTGTATTCATGGATCCTGGCAAATGGAGGTAGATGAAGCAATGCATACAGACTCATTCTTAACATTGGAAGAAAGAAGACCAACTTTAAATGCATATCTGACTGCTCATGGATCAAAAGCATCATCTTCTAAAGTTGGATCTTCGTAAAGTATGAGTCTGAAGAATAAATGCCTAGATGTTTTCCTCTGTACATTGTTTAGAACAGAGGTTAGCAGACATGTCCCATGGTCCAATCCTGCCCATTGCCTATATTTTAAACAAAGTTTTATTGGAACACAGTCATGCCTCTTTATTTATATATAGACTATGGATATTTTTGTGCTAGAGTGACAGAGTTAAGTAATTGTGGTAGAAACCATGTAGTCCAACAAAGCCTAAAATATTTACTATCAGGCTCTTTGCTGGAAAAGTTTGCCAATGCTTGGAACTGATGTTGTTAGGCTACGTGCAATCCTAGATTTCCACAATGGAAATAATTTATTTTTCATTGATTAAACGTTTCTGTTTTAGGATACTATTATGCATATTTCATCTCCAAATGTCTTTGTGAGCTAAGGGGCTCATCCTCAGAGTGCATTAGGAAGATATTACTGTAAGATTTTCATTTCGAGATGAGCTCTTTGCCCTGTGATGAAGTTGATACACAGCTTTTAACAAGAAACCAGAGGCCAAAAATGAACCTGTCTGGTTTCCGATTATACACTAAAATAGAAACTCTGCCTTGGTCATAAAAAAACTCAGGGGGCATAAAAAGGAATAGTTGAAACCTAAGAGAGAAAATGATTTCCCAAAACTCAAAAGCAGAATTTAGCAGAAAGATCTCAGCAAGTTCCTAGATCATTGTAGTCACTAAACTGTAAGGCATTGAACTGCTGGTCTAAAGCAACTTCATGTGTTCCTAAGTGTGTCCACCGTAGGGCATGGGCAGCAGTAGCCTCATGGGCAATAGTAGCCATGGGTCTATCCCACAATGTCAGCCATGTCTACCAAACGTCAGGCCTTCTAGGTCCTTTATTCCAAATATTATCTGTGGAATGGCAGAATAACTTTTTAACACTATAATTTTAGGTATTCTGACAGGCAGGTAGGGCAGGATGTTATTGGAAAGGTTTTTTGTTTTGTTTTTTATTTTTATAGTTATTGTTGAATCACAGGAACGCTACAGGCTCTGGTGCTCAAATACCTGCCTGAGGAGCCACTAAACACCCTCACCCTGACCCCTTCTCCGCTCTGAGTTTTCTAGAAACAGAATCACTGAGCACCTGAACTTCCTGGAGGACTGGATGTAGGTAGGAAAGGAAGCACCTCAGAGTGTTGTAACTTCACAGTTTTCAACATTATTTCCTTTCTCTGGGACCAGAAAGGATCAAAACTCCTCTCCTCTCACTAAATCTCCTTCCTGTTCTGCCATATTCTCAGTTTTTCTCTCTAGCACTCAGAGATGATAGATTTTTTCCCTTTGTATTTTGTCGGCCTTAACAGCTTTGTAAGACAGTGACTCTTATACCAGGCACCAGAGGTTTACTTCAGATGCCATAAAGTACCCAGCAGTACTACCATAGGCAGAGCACATGTCTGGAAGTAGTGGAGCATGTCTGCAGCATGTTTAAGAACTTGTAAGAAATCGAGAAATGAGACAGTAACAACATTGCTTCACAGAGCCTCCACTGCATCTTCTAAATCATTCACAATGATATGGGTCAAAATGGGACCAGAAGGTTAGCTATAACTTTGGGAAACTCAGTTCTTCCAAATGGTTGTTTTTAATATTTGATCATAAAGAATAAAGACTTGTTGGCAATCTAAGATTAACCACCTGTTCAGAGCCTAAAATTACATGAGATTAAGGGCTGCCCTATAAAGTTAGAATTATGAGGTATTTGAGTATCAGAACCACTTCTCTCCCTTACTGCTCTAAAAGTATTCTTTATTTCTGATCTTGAAATAAAGCATGGTTTTAACATAGGAAAATATTGGTTTTTTTTCAGACATGGTTATCCCTGTGAAGGAAATAGGATTCTCTTTAGGAACTGGAGATGTTGGGTTTTCAGTTCATACCCTAGGGTTCTGCCAAAAATACCGGCAAATCTATGAGAACCAGTTCCATTAACATTGTTCCAAGACCACACACTTATCTACGTCCTGCCTTCTGGCTAGGAGGTGATCTTATTCCTGAGGGAATTAGATCAAGTTAAGTAAGACAGTTCTTTTTGTGTTATTGTTGTTTGTTTTATTTTGTTAATTGCCAGGGGATGCATTTGCTTGCCAGAGACAGACAGAGAGAAAGAGAGAGAAAATGTCCCCCTTCATGGGGGCATGGTCACACACAATCCCTTCTCTCCCAGCTTGTCAGGATTTTGGGCCCTCATGCATACGTGCCCAGTGTGTTTTTCAAGTCATTAGGCCAGGATTCAAACCACAGTTGGCCATGGATGGATCAGGCACCTTCAACCACTAGACCATTAGGCTGGCTCAGTAGGGCTGCTTTAATGTAACTCTATGACTATGTCATAAGTTGCTGTGTTAACACATATATTGTACACACAGGCAAGCTACAGAAATGATGCCACTGTCCCAGGATCAGAGTGGCACCTGTTTCTGGGTGGGGATGGATTTGTGCAGAGACACACCCTCTTCTTCCTCCATGGCTCCCAGGAAACAATCATTACATTTGTGAAGGAGCTGGGCTGCATGCAAGATGCAGACCATGTCTTTGGATATAACTGAATGTTTTCAATGACTCAGAAGGAATTTTTGGATCTTTAGAATTTCTCTTGAACACCAATGTATGAACAATAAAAAATACTAATTTTTGTTATGTGCTAGACTAACAAAAATGCTAGTTAGCTAAGAGTTAACATTAATGGAATTTGAACAAAAATTCATGATAGTCTGGCACAACTGCAGTGGCATAGACAGCAGTGTACTGATAAGCAGTGCTGGAAGCCAGTTGGCTGACTGAGTTCAGATCCCAAATAGGCTTGAAACACATCAGCTGGGTACCTAACCAGGATACTGACCAGCTGGAAGAACTAGGAGAGGGAGAGATGAGACTCTGTGGAAGGTCTTGCCAGAGAGAGACAGAGAGAAGGAAAGTGAGAACTCATCCCCTCATCTCTCTGTCTCTTGCATGCTCTCTCTCATGAAACGTTTTTGTACTCAGTTGAAATTCTTTACAAAACAGGACTCATCCTTTTTTATTAAATAAATTATTTTCAGTAGAGTTCCATTTGTCAAAAAAGTGTTTAATAATTTTGAGTTATGTAGAGAATTTCTGAGATTAAAATAGTATATTGGGTCATCAGGAAAATCATGATGTATTTATGCATAGAAAAACAGAAAAATATGTCATGACTTTCCTGACTACTTAATTCACATAATAAGCATTCTATTTTTTCCATTTGAACATATTCTGAATTTCTGGTGGTCTTGGCCAATCCTTACTAATTTTATTAAATAGATTACTCACCAAAAGAGAAAGTGATCTTTTCTGATGAGACATTCCACATCTTATTTCCAGGGGCTGGAGACAGAGCCACACACCAAATGGTCAGGTTTGATTTGGTTGGTTTATTACCATGTACCCTTGTTAAAACAGACTTCAGTTCCAAAAATTTGCCTTTGCCTTTCCTCTCTTCATTGGTAATGTTTGTTCCTACAGGACAAATAAGAACATGGTTAGTCACTAACATTTTCTTTATGCTCTTCTGTGTAGCAAGGGACAATTCTGACAGGCCTAGGATTAACCTGAGCTGTTGGTTTAAGCTCCACTGTGGCATTAAATCCCTGATTAATCCATGGTCAAGGTATGGAACTTATTGACTAATAGTGTTGCTTTGTTTGTGACCATGGGTCCAAGGGATTTGGGGGAAGATTTGCCCAGTTCATTAGCATATTCTATTGATAATGGTGAGGTCAAGGATTTGCACCTCATCTGGGTCAGACTCTGGGAGGGCTCTACTGCAGAATCTAGTTATGCAGCAGAAATACATCCAAGTGACCAACAAAATACAAAGCAACTTCCACTGAGACTATTTTGGCTTCCCACTTCCGAGCTGTTCCACGCACATATCAGTAATTCCTGATGTGAAAGAGCGAAAGAGAGAGCGAGAGAGAGCGAGAGAGAGAGAGCATTTAACTGTGGCCCTTATAGAGGGAGAACAAAGCAGCCCACATTAGACTTTTCTCGGCTCCTAGTATGTGACACATACTTAGTGTTCCTATCTTGTATCCTTTTTCTGAGATAAAATGTAGATTTATTGGCATCATCCGAGTTATCTTTAGAAATCTCACTCTGTTTAACCACTCCTGTTAGTACAACCTCCAAACAGCATACATGATAACAAGAAATGAATGCAAAACTATCTATTACCATAGGCTAGAACTTCATATCCTCACAGCTTCTTTACAGGGAAAGTTTTTGATGCTTAATTCTAAAGTTATTACTTGCTAAGGTAATAACTAAATACAGGTATGTGCTGGTGGAATTTTGACCCCATCGTCACATCAAATCTGGGTGCCAGACCTATACAGAGCTTATTTAATAAAGTCAATTGTATTTCTTATTCTGGGAAAACTTATCCTGTATACCCCTGGAGAAGCCAGACAAAGTATCAGAAAATGACATCTGGTAGACAAGATGATGTTTCTCTTGGGATAAGAATTATTCTTAAATACTAAGATCAACTGGGACATCCCAATTTCTGATGTTCTTTATTTATTTGCCAAACCCATTTCCATTGCCTAATTTTCTTACCTTCTTCTTCACCTTGAAAAACCATTCCATCTATATACCATGTGAGATTTGCTTTGGGAAACACATTCCTTAGTGAGCAGGTAAATGTTCTCTGGGGTAAAGATGGACAGAAAGATGATTATTTGCAAATTCAAAAGAAACTGGTGTCCTATAGCTACAATATTTATAAGAGACAAACTGGCAAGAAATGATTTTCTCCACTTTTAACTTGACAATTAAAAGGCAGTGTCTCCTTTTGAGATAAATTGTGCTAAAATGTGAACTATAAATGGGTTATCTCTAAGCCAGCAGATGGCATAATGATTATGTGGCTGGCCTCCCAATTAGTTGACCATGGTTTCAGTCCTGGACTTGGCAGCTTAAAACTCATGCTGGGCATATGTGTGTGCATGCCCAAAATCCTAAGAGGAGAAGAGAGGAGAAGGGATTGCAGTGTGGCCATCCCTCTTGGGAGGGTGAGGTGATTTCTCACTTTCTGTCTCTCTGTCTGCCATATAGTATAAATCTCTCAAAAAAAAAAAAGAAAAAAAAGAAAACAAAGAAATGGAAGAAGAATAGGTAGCTATGTTACAACAACAGGGAACTTAGAGACAGGGTTACATTTTACTTCCAACAACTTCCAGTTGTTCTGTGGGGAATGATACTTTCCTCAACAGTCCGGTGAAGACATTCAGTAAGATTTATTTGATACCCATTATTTAATTTTAGACTCTGCAAAATTATAATCCATTTATAGCTATTTGTTTCCTCATTAAGAGTTGTATATATTTATGTATGGTTGACCCTAGATCTTAATTCCCAAAGATTATCCACAACTGCTAAGTGTCCTTGTTCACCAGTAAGGAGCAGATCACTGTGTGTGATAGTCTGTGACAGTCCACAGACTATTCCTGAAGAGTGTGGACCCATAAAACTGGGAAACCAAACTCAATACTTACTGACTTATTTTTTTTTCTGGTGACATCCTGCTAAAGTAGAGCTTATTATCAATCAGCTCATCCTTAAAAAGTCCCACAGAAACAAGGAGACTTTCAGAAGGAACTGTCTATCACTTTCAAACTATAAGTGGCAACCACTATAGCTCTGCGTACTTCCACTCAGTCAACACTTGCTTCTTTCAGATAATGAGAATACTTGTGTAAAGCAGGGAGTAACCCATGAAATTATGCCATTTTCTCTCCTAGAAAATCAAAAGGAAAACCAAGTTACTTAAAATATGTTCTTACTGATGTCAGCAGGTAGTCTGGTGGTTCAGGCATGGGCTTCTCACATGGCTAACCATGGTTTAAATCCTGGACCTGGGAGTTTGAAAATCATGCCAGGCACGTGTGTGTCCATGCCCAAAATCCTGAGAGGAGAGTAGAAGAGAAGGGATTGCAGCATGGCCATTTCCCCCCCACTGGAGGATCATGATTTCTCACTTTCCCTCTCTGTGTCTCTCTCCAGAGAGCACATGTACCCTATGGCAAAAACCTAACATATATAGGAACCAGTAGATGGCTTAATGGTTATGTTGCTGGACTCCTACAGAGTCAACTGCAGTTTGAATCCCAACTCGGTGGCTTAAAACTCACACCAGGTGCAAGTATATGTGCGCCCAAAATCCCAAGAGGAAAATGGAGTAGAAGGAATTATAGCATGGCTATTCCCCCTGGGTAGTGATTTCTTATGTTCTGTCTCTCTGTCTTTCTCTGTCTCTCTGGGGATCACACATGCAATGTAGCAAAAATCTCTCTCAATAAAACCCCTAATATATATAGGGATGAGCAGATGGTGTAATGGTTATATTGCTTGTCTCCCACATAGCTGACCGTGATATGAGTCCCAGACCCGGTGACTTAAAACTCACACCAGGCACTTGTGTGTATGTGTCCAAAATCCTGAGAAGAAAAAAGAGAAGGAATTGAAGGAATTGCAGCATGGCCATTCCCCTGGGGGATTATTTCTCACTTTCTTTCTCTCTGTCTTACTCTGTCTCTCCGAGAGAAAAATCAGTTCTTTTAATACAATAAAGTGTCAACAATTTATTTCTATCTCTAGTTGGTCCAAGAAGGAATAAGATGGCACAAGAGATTAAGTGTTAAAAAATAAAAAACTTTTGGAAGAAGCCGGGCCTTCAGCAGAAGTTTCCACATGGCACCAGCAAACTAGATTTTTCAGGGAATGAAGATTTTCTACTGATAATATAGCCTCCAACAAACAAGCTAACAGCAGAAGAAGCCGGGCCTTCAGCAGAAGGTTCCACATGGCACCAGCGAACTAGATTTTTCAGGGAATGAAGATTTTCTATTAATAATACAGCCTCCAATAAACGAGCTAGTGCGATCACAACGGAATGGCCAAGAGATTCTAGATCACCTCTGCTTGCTCCTGAACATTTAGACTGAACTTCAAGAATTTGAAAGAAACACACCATCCACCAGGTGACAAGAAATCACCACCAGATCACAAGAAATATGGGAAAACAAGAAAATACCTCTCCTCCAAGGGAAAAGAGTAACTCTTCTTCATCTACAAGCAGTTCAGTGAAAATCATGGAAATGTCTGATAAGGAATTTAGAGCATTCATAATGTCAAAGCTAACAGAGATGGAAGAGAAGAGAGATAATGAACTGCTAAAGAGAAAGGAGAAAGAAGTTGATGAGTTCCAGGAGATGAGGAAATTCTTGCTAGATCTAAAAGAGGAATTACACACTTTACAAAAGACTCAAACAGAACTGCTAGAGATGAAGTCTCTAATACAAGAAGTCAAAATCTTCCTTGAAAGTATTAAAAGCAGACTAGATCATTCAGAAAATAGAATCTCAGATGTA